GCCACTGCCAGTCTGCCACACAACTAGCGGGAAATGATCATTTAGCTTTCCCTCAGCTACCTCCTGGGCGACTTGCATTATTGCTTTCCCTATCGATGGATCAACCATATTCACCTGCCATAAAATAAATCCCCTATGTTCTATTTAACCCAATGAAATCTTCATGATAACAAATCTGCACTGTATTGCACTAGGATTGACAAATCACAATCCTAAAAATAATCATAACATTTAATTGATTTAATTAAGTACTACTGTCAGTAACTAGAAATATCTCAAGTCAAAATGAAAAATTCAAATAAGGAATAAAGATTTAGGTTCGTAAGGAATAAAGATTTAGGTTTCTTAAAAGTATAAGCTGATTAATTAGTCTACATTAGCACTTGAAACAATAGAAAAATCGGAAAAGAAATCAACCAAAAATGGACCTTAGCTGCGCATTTCTTGCGGATGCCAAAGGCTCGAATGATTGGTTCCGGCATTCGATCGCGCTCGCTCCTATATCAAAATTCTGCAATGATCTTTGCGTTTGTGCACCCCATAGCCTGAATTATTATTATTATTGAAAACAACAGAGCAAGAAATAAATAAAATAAAAAAAGGAAATGAAGCGAAGTGGAGTGAAAAATTGAGTGAGAGATAGAATAACGAACTTATCAGCAGGGACAAGAATGGGACCAAACGTGTCCCTCTCCTCTCTGAAGGCAGTTGAATAAGCCCTAAACCAGTTCCCATAACGCAAGGAAGCTGGAAATTGCGAGGTCGTGGATCCATCAGAGAGTCGCCGAGCCACCATATACATCTTCATTCTAATTTAGTCCATCAAGGGAGGAAGGGAGGAAGAAAAGATTTGGAGAATGCGAAGATCGAGGAGATAGCAGCAAGCTTTTTTACCGGGAAAGGGAAGAAGAGAAAAATGGAATAAAACACGGTCAGGACGGGGATGCCATGCTACGCTACTCTTTAAGAGAAGATTTAGCACAGTGACTAAAAAATCAGTCATGAAAAATTATTTGTTTGATAGTCATGCATGTAAAACCTGCTTTTCTCATTAAAAACAAATAGGCATATTATTTTGTTTAAATTTTTTAATCTCTGTACTAGTTTTTTTAATTACGATAAAAATTACTTTTAAAAAATATTTTATTTAAAAATATATTTAAATAATTTTTATATATTTTAAAAAATTTTAAAATCTATACATTAAAATAATTTAAAAATAAAAAAAATCTAAACAGCAAGGTTGAAACTTAATTCATAAAACACTAAATAAATGGCAGGCGTTGCGAGTGGGGCAAAACTTTTTCCAGTACTAAAAAAATATTCAAGTAATAATAATTCATGATAATTCAAATTAAAGTTAAATTAACTAAAACACAACTTGAAATATAAAATTAAAAACATCCATAAAAAAAATTATAAAATTCAAGTTCTAGTAACAAAATATCAAAGATTAAAAAAAAAATTTATAAAATATAATATTAAAGAATAAAATTCAAGTCAACTTAGAATATCTTAGTAGACTAACAACTCATTATATGAGATTGTATTAAAAAAATTCAAAAAAATAACCTAATAAAATACCAAAATTCAAGAAAAAAACATCATAAAAACCTTAAGTCAATGTGAGTTAGCTTTACTAACCCACTTTTTGAATAACCAAATAATAAGAAAAGTAAAAAAAAAATAACAAAGTTTGAACGTAAATAATTTAATGTAACCTAATGAAATTGAAAAAAAAAATCATAAAACAATTAAAGAAAAAATTAATGAGTCAACCTAGGCTAACTCGACCAACCCACCATATGCGATATAAGATCAGGATTACAAAAAAAAAAAAACTTCCTAAATAAGAGCCTAACAAAGAAGGCTCAAGTTTAAATAGAAAACATTATGAGTAAAAATATAAGCTGACCCAAGTTAACTTGATCAACCCACTCTCAAAATAAAAAATATAAAGAGAAGAGAAAAAAAAACAAAGTTCAATGACAAATAATTTAATGCAAAATAATAAAATTGAAAAAAAAATAATAAAGTCATAAAAAATAAGAAAACAAAATCAAGTCAACCTAGATTAAGTCTATTAACCCACCGTGACAGGCGATTGAGATAAAAAAAAAATTCAAAAGAAGAATTTAGCATAGAAGACCGAAGTTAGGAAAAAGAACATTGAGTAAGAAAACGCAAGCTAACTAGAGTTAACTTGATTAATTCGCACTCGAGATAACTCAACAGAAATAAAAATAAAAAAATCACATAGTTTAGGGGCCAATAATTTAATATAAAAATATAAAATTATTAAAAAAATTAATCTTATAAAAAAACATTTAAGGCAGCCATAGTTAACTTGATTGACCTATCATCTAAGTTTAATAACAAAATATTAAACGATAAATGTTTTTTTTTTTAAAAGTTAATTTTTAATAAAGAATTGCCTTGTTGAAAGGCAGCCATAAAAAAATAACAAGATAAAATATTCAAACCTAAAACAATTTAAAAACTAAGCAATGCATTCCAAACATGATATAAAAAAATGAAATGAAATAATAAAGGGCTAAATTAGAAAATAGAAAAAACTAACAGAATGATTAAAAAAAAAGATATTGAAAAAATAAAGAACAAATCTGGATAAAAAAAACTAAATGAAATTAAATATTAAGGGATAAAATTAAAAAAATATAAATCAATAAAATGATAAAAATATAGCAATCAAAACAATAAGGACAAAAAATGAATCTAAAAAACAAATGCAATAAAATTAAAAGGGACAAAATTGCAAAAAAAAAATTAATCAAGAAAAGTATAGAGCATAGAAATAGAGCAATTAAAAATAGAGGGACTAAATTAGATAAAAAATCAAATTGAATAAAATATCCACAAATAAAATTTAAAACATTCAAACTTCAACGAGTATCAAAAGCTAAATAAATATTGACTAAAAAGAAGTGTAAAATCGATAAGATTACAAACCAAACAACAAAAATATTCTTTTGAAAGTTTGGACGTGTTTTTTAGGAAAAAAAAGAAAAAAAAATTTCACCACAGCCTAATTAATTATATAACCTTTATGAGCATGCATCACACCATAAAAAAAAAAAAAAAACAATGCATAACTCTCCACGCTACAACAAAAGCAGAATTTTGCCCACCGCATGGTCCCTCACACGCCACTTGAATGGCGCGAGGCCATGACATGCTAACATATTGATAATTGTTTTTAATAATATTTAAAAATTTAAAATTGATAAGTTTCCTTTAAAAAAAACTAAATATAACAACAAAACTAGTTAAAAAAAAATATCAAAACACCCTCACAAATAGCTTTTGTTTTTTTTTCTTTTGAATTCCAAGGTTAGTTATGTCATTTTACTTAAAAAATAAAAAATAAAAAGGAGAAACCCCTCTATGCATCTACATATTTTTTTCTTTTTCAAGAACATAATTGTAACTCTACTGCTTATATTTTTAAAAAGACAAAAAAACCCTTAAGTTAACTTTGTTTTTGGCTTTTGAGGGCGAAATAGCTATTATATTGTAAAAAAAACATGTTTGGACCATTTTATCCCCATCAATTCCATTGAAAAGATATTTTTGCCTTTAATTACAGGCTTAATCAATTATTTTTTTTTTGGTAAGGGCCAAATCATATTTACTCTATTCTCATTTGAAATTGAATTCATTTAATTTGAGGGCAAGTGGCAGCAGTTAGATATTAATAGCATATTTAGCTACATGATTGGACATGTTTTTGCTTGCTAAAATTTGAATTTTTTTGTTTTAAATTATTATTTTTTAATATTTTTGGGTTGATGTGTTGATGTTAAAAAATAATTTAAAAATTAAAAAATATTATTTTAATACATCAATGTTACCATAATAATACCAAACACTATCTAATTTTTCATTTAGCATATGTGATATGGTTAAAATTACATTTTATTTTTATTATAGATTTAAAAATATCTAGTTAATCAATACACCATGGTTTTGCATAAATATTATTAAAAATTCTCTTTTAAAATTTGATTATAAAAAACTACAACTTATATATTTTTTCTTAACCACTGTTTTCTAAGAATAAGCATATAATAATATATCAATTTTCAACTCTTTCTCAAATCCAAAATCAAGTTACTCTCTTAAGATACAATTTGTTGTATCGCTATTACTGTGCCTGCCTGTAGTTTTGCATAAAGACCATCACTAGAAGATATTAAAAAGGAAAAATGTTTAAAAGTATAATAACCATTATTTTTTAAAATATTTTTTATTTTATAAAAACAAAGGTATCTGGATGCCACGTTTGCAAATGCTATGTTCTATAAAATTACAAACCTGTCTCCGAACATAAAACTAGCTGCCACTTTTCTACTACTGAATTTAACAGAGCTAGCTGCTGGAAAAGGATTAAGCTGAAAAACAGAAGGCAAAAAGACAAGAAATGAAGGACGTTCATTAACAAGTGAAACTACCAGCTCAAGTTGCAGATGTTGGGTAGAGGTGAACCCAAGGAAATTCTTCTTTGTAAACCTGCAATGCCAGCCTCACAAGTGGCTTTGCATGTGTACACGACAATGGTTGCCCAATCGAGAGAATCCACACCATTCTTTACACCGAAGTAACAAAGCAACTGAGGTAAGATCCGAGGCACCAAATACAGGAACTGTTACCTTAGTTTCCACTTTAATTGGAGTCAATGTTTGAGATCCACGAGGAAAACTGAATAGTAGAACAGCACAACACACCAAAAAAGAAAAAACCAAGCGGGCTAACAAGGGCTTCAATCAAAATATAGAATAAACAAATAAATACATTGAAAAATAGAGATAAAAAATTGTTTAAGGAAGCTGAAATTCAAAATCTGAAGGACTACCACGGTAACTGCAGTTAGGACATGGGCCAGAGGTATTCTGGACTAGCATTCCTACAATACCTGCTAATTTAAACAAAGGAATAAGTATTCTATAGCAAATTAAGCAGGCAAAAAGATTTAAGTAATAAAATGCAAAAAATAATGGGTACAAGAAATCAATGGTTAAACTAAAAAACTACCAGGCCATGCAAATTTAACACGCACACTATCTTAGATATAATCTTTAAAATCTTATCCAAAACCATACCGACTTCTCAAGATGTAACTGACAACAGATAAGTATGGCGTCCGGTGTAGCAAGATGAATAACATCCGCATGCAAAATGCCAACCATTTCTAGATGTACTGCAATTTTCATCTGATCATTTCCAGCACAAATGATAACTCTGGCATAAAGCGCAGTGTTGACAGATGATGTAGAATAAATTGCAGCTATGGAAATGCCAATTCTCTACAAACATGAGTCTCAGTGATTAGCCAATGTCCGATGAGGGTCAGTTTCCTCGCTTGTGTTTGAGCCCCTTGAATGTCTAAATCTTACACATTTCCTAGAAAAAATTGTTCAGTTGTTTAGGAAATATGGAGCCAGAAGGTCCATAAAATCATCCTATGAGAGGGACCCGTGCCACACTAAATGAAATGCTTATGATGGCTGAAGCAATCACTCATATAGACTTCAAATTGTATCTAAGTTTTCTACACTGTTAAGCATAGTAATCGATTTCACAATATATTAGCTCATATCACCTCAACACTTGTTCGGGGGCTTTGGCTATGCGCTGTTGGAAAGATGCCCACTATTGCCCTGTCCATAACAAAGGACCTGGAGCAAAAAAACCTGAAGCAAAAACTGTGAAGGTTCTTCACATATATCACAAACACAGGACCATCCAGATGGTAAATTAACAGGATCCAGACACGCTACAACATAGACGTTAATAACATCAGTTTACATACTAAATATTGGGTTTTTCTTACAAGATTAATAATAATTGGCGGGAAAAAAATTCAAAAGGAAAGGAAAGGAGTTTTAAAGAGTTGAAATATAGGTTCTGGCGCGCCACCAGCCTTGCTAGGAAATACTTGACGCAGGATAGACCA